GTATGTTAATTAAAACTTTTATATAATTGCATTTAAAACTCTTTTTTTTCTCACTTGCTTAAAAACAAGTGCTTAAAGTCCTTAAAAAGCGACCAGCAGAGTCATCCGTCCCGTTCTTTATATTTAGGAGGCTTCAAAAATTACGAATTATTCATTCTATTGCATGTTTATTGTATATTAAGAAAAAACATTTCTTCTGGTCAAATTTTATTATTTATAAAATACAATACAACTATTAACGCCTTACATACAGAGAAGGGGAATTAGAGATCTTTTCTGGTTCGAAGCATTGGTTCTTTTGGTGATGTCTGACCGAAGGAAATAAAAATAACAACAAAAACATTCTTAATTTCAGATAATCGATTATTTTAATTTTAGAAAATAATTGAGTAATGAAATATGACAGATCCTAGCCTTCACTTAATATTTTATAAAATAATATTAATATTCTATCTTTCTTTGTTTGAAAAAGAGCGCGAAAAACGAAACAATAAACACGTTTGTAAGCCGAAAACGAAAGAGAAAAATCTAAACTAATTTCGACCTCCCCTAAAGGCGTAAATTGAACCAAGTGCTTTATTTTTTACATTATGCCTGCACTTAAAAGGGACAGCAAATAGCTAGCTTGCCCAGGGCGGCCGGCATAATTGCTAGGTCGGCTCCCGTTCATATCCCTATTAATTAATGTTATTTTTATTAACAAAAGTCTTTAAGACTGCTCGTTATTAATAAAGAAACATTCTACTTATTTTTTCGATAAAATAAATGGCAAAAGAGGTCGGTCTGCTTTCTCCTCTATCCTATCTACAAGCTCTCGGCGGTCTGCTTACATATTATATATTGGGTCCTCAAAAAACATCTTTTAATATTAGAGAGATCCTGCTTTAAATAACACAATTTACAAACTGACATAAGGAATTTTCTTATTGAAAATTTCAAATTTCCAAAAAGTCTTCATCAGTATCAAATATAGGATTCTGAATCAATGAACAAATGCATAATAATAAAATAAGTATCAGATCAGACAATTTTTTAAAAAACCTTAAAAAAAATTGTATATGTGAGATATTTAAAGCTGAACAAAAATGATAAAATTTTACATATATTTAAGAAAATAACCCGAGGTAACACAAGGCACTTCGTATCTCCGCAAAGGAATTAGATGTGTGGGACTTTTAAACTTCAAACTGAATATCAGTAATAAAAAAACGTTTTATGATTTATAAAATAAAGCGAGGCATCCTGTGAAACCCTCCCTCTATTAAGAAATCTCTATACACGAGAATTTTGAGAAGAAAACGAATTAAAGAACACAGAAAGTCATTCAATTTACTTCTTATATTTTAATCATAAACGATCTGATTATGTTAAGTTCTGAAAATCTTTACAAACTTTATGAAACTTTAAGCTTTGTTATTAGATTAGAAAATAATAAAGAAATAAACATTATAAAAAATAAATTATTATATTAAAATCTCTATTAAAAGGCTATCTGTAAGATCCCAAAGCTTTGGTATTAAAATCGAAACTTTGGGATCTCACTGATGCATGTATCAAATTTGAATAAATTTAAATAATTAACATTGTTTATAATAAGGAAATAATATATAGGCCTATACATAATTATAATGTATAATCGTTAATACACTTTGTTTATTTAACAGTATCTTTCAATGAAAAACTATAACTAAGTCTTATTAAGTAAATGATTTAATTTGTATTTAAATATAAATACAGTACTTCAGACAAATTTATTAAATTAATTTTCATATTAAATGTGGCCTTTCATTATAAATAAACTTATTAAAATTTTAATAAAATCATCGAATACAAAAATATACCAATTAATTAATTTCATCATCGAAATACAAAAAATCAAATTTTTAATAATGAAATATAAATTAATAAAATTAAAATATCATAGGAAATGATCATTTAAAGTGAAAGTTTTGAAATAATTTCATAAAACTTTTATTATTAATTGATAATATTACAAAAGTTTAATTGGAATTAAATTAAATTAACAATATTCTAGACTCTGTTATTACTTTATTAAGTTGCATTAAGTAATTAATATTACAATATAATATCTTCCTAAAATTAATCTAATTGCAATTTCAAAGATTATAGAATAATTAATTGATAGATTAAACAGAATTAAACTATGAATGAAATTGTCCTAACTAATGTAAATGTAATTTCGAATTTGTTCTCTTTATATTTTATGAATAATCATAAACATGTCTACAACCATAATAAATATACTCTACCTTATAAAGGATATACATAATAGCTTATCAGTTTATTAAAATTATAATTAAATCAAGCAAGTAACATATTAATATTTAATAAATTAAAGCTGATAAATATCATATATTCTAGTTGTTTGAATATATTCTATATATTCAAACAACTGTTTTTTATACTGAACATATTAACCACAGTTAAATTAAAATTTGCTTATATATTTATATTTATTTATATACTGTATATACATTTTTTAAAAATTTAAATAAAAAACAATTAAAATAAATAAAATATGTAAGACATTATAATGGATATAATTAATGGATGGTTTCTAAGTCCAGATTTATTAAACCGTTTAATTTATATTGAATAAAAAGCAATATATTGAGTAGCCCAAAATTCAGTTAACTGATTTTGAGTATTTAAAACGCTCTTAAAATAATATTAAGTTATACCTTGGTTAACTAACTTTTGGACCAATTTTTATATTTATTAATATTATAAAAAAAATTATNATGTATTAACACTAAAAATATATAAGCAATATAAACACAAGATTGTTGAAGGAAAATATCGACTTGACGATTTTCTATAAGCGATCGAAATATAATACAGTACGGTACATATTTAGAAATACATGATTATATATTCTGCAAAATATTCAATAAATTCTAATAAAACATACTGCATATATTTAGATTAAACAAAACATTTTTTTTTAAATTTACTTTGCTAACCTTCTATTGAGAATAAAAGAATTTTTTTATTTTTAATAAAAATAGTTTTATATATTTCAAATAGACCATTGATAGAATTTTTAACATCTATAGAACTTTCTTCATGTTTGAGTATTGTTTTTGTCGAACACCAAGCAATAGAGTTTAACGAAATAAAGAACAAGCTAAAACACTTTAATGCTGTTTTTGTTTTTTAACTAATAAAGCTTTTTATAGTTACTTAAGGAAAAATCATTATTATTTTTAATATGTTTTAATGAAAATAACTTCTTATAAACATCTTTGCGGAACTTTTGACGGATGTTTGCGAAAACCTAGAGTTTCGTATGACAGTTTGAATATCATTGTAATAGACTAAGGGTTCATTTCATTAGAAAATCAGTCCGAAAGTTTTTGCTGATATTACAATAGAATGTTTTTTAACCTCTGAATACAGTCTTAAAACTGACATTCGCGTATAGTTTCTGATATGTAATCTGCAATCTGATGTTTCATGACGTTTCATGACGTTTCATGACCTATACACTGTCGGAAATAATACTTATTCACTTCATAATAAAGGTAATATAATTCAATAGTTTACGAAGCAAGTGAGAATTTTAATTTATGTATTTATTCTTTTATGCACTATTAGGACTAATGAAACAATTATTAATTATGCTTTTGTTATACAGTTTTGTAATAAATTTCCACACTGCATATAAAAGAATGACTGTTTTTAGATAATATATTAACGTTTTATAATTGTTTTTCTATTGTTAATATTAAAATATATATAACAGAGTAAAAAAAAGAGGAATAAGTTTACTTTATAAAATCATACAAGGAAAGATATACCGATAATTGTTTAGTAACTACTGATTTACAACAGTATATATATCTAAATGTTTTAATTCAAGTATCTAATATTATATAGCATTAGCGAACGATTTAGCCATTAATGGGTTGTTAATCGCTTTGTACTCTCATGCAATTTGTTTTACTCTCAATAATAATTAAACTATAATTATACCAAAAATATTAGTATGCATTAATCATTAATTATAATCTTCCTATCTAACATTACTATATTATCTATTAAGTTTTATTAATCATAAAGACTTTCAAAACTTGAAAATTTTGACAAAGTTTCTATTTTTTATATTAAAACGGAATTTTTATATAAAATAAGTGAATAAACAACAAATATTTTATTTTTTTTTCTGTATTTATAAATTTTGAAATCGATATTTTATTTGTTTTGTGTACTGTAGATTAATATGTAAATGTCTAACTAAATATGAATAAACAACTCAAAAGGTAATGTTATGAGAAATACAAACATTCATTAATATCATTTTTTTGTGAGAAAAAATGTGATGTTTCTTGATTTTAAAACTTTCTTTTCTTAGTTTGGTTTAATACTAACAATTTAGCTTCTTATAACTAACATATTTCGACCATTTTAATTATACTGTAATTGCTTGGTTCTTACATAATAAATAATGCTCCTTAGAAAATGTGTTAATGAATTGCTTCATTTAACATATTAAAGAAAAAAGAAATGATGCAATTACTAATTTAAAAAAAAATTTAATTTGTTAACATCTCTGAAAATTTAACTTTAAGCAATTAATTAAATTTTTAATGATATATTAGCTTGATTAATATTTAGAAGTAACATTACGTTAATAATTTATCATATAAAATGATTTTTATACTTGACATTTTTTAATATTCAAAATTTTCGAGAATATGGTCATTTTTTAAATGTAATAATACTGTATTGAAAATAAATATTTATATATTTTTTTCTATTATTGAAATTATTGAAGTAAGTATGTTAATTAAAACTTTTATATAATTGCATTTAAAACTCTTTTTTTTCTCACTTGCTTAAAAACAAGTGCTTAAAGTCCTTAAAAAGCGACCAGCAGAGTCATCCGTCCCGTTCTTTATATTTAGGAGGCTTCAAAAATTACGAATTATTCATTCTATTGCATGTTTATTGTATATTAAGAAAAAACATTTCTTCTGGTCAAATTTTATTATTTATAAAATACAATACAACTATTAACGCCTTACATACAGAGAAGGGGAATTAGAGATCTTTTCTGGTTCGAAGCATTGGTTCTTTTGGTGATGTCTGACCGAAGGAAATAAAAATAACAACAAAAACATTCTTAATTTCAGATAATCGATTATTTTAATTTTAGAAAATAATTGAGTAATGAAATATGACAGATCCTAGCCTTCACTTAATATTTTATAAAATAATATTAATATTCTATCTTTCTTTGTTTGAAAAAGAGCGCGAAAAACGAAACAATAAACACGTTTGTAAGCCGAAAACGAAAGAGAAAAATCTAAACTAATTTCGACCTCCCCTAAAGGCGTAAATTGAACCAAGTGCTTTATTTTTTACATTATGCCTGCACTTAAAAGGGACAGCAAATAGCTAGCTTGCCCAGGGCGGCCGGCATAATTGCTAGGTCGGCTCCCGTTCATATCCCTATTAATTAATGTTATTTTTATTAACAAAAGTCTTTAAGACTGCTCGTTATTAATAAAGAAACATTCTACTTATTTTTTCGATAAAATAAATGGCAAAAGAGGTCGGTCTGCTTTCTCCTCTATCCTATCTACAAGCTCTCGGCGGTCTGCTTACATATTATATATTGGGTCCTCAAAAAACATCTTTTAATATTAGAGAGATCCTGCTTTAAATAACACAATTTACAAACTGACATAAGGAATTTTCTTATTGAAAATTTCAAATTTCCAAAAAGTCTTCATCAGTATCAAATATAGGATTCTGAATCAATGAACAAATGCATAATAATAAAATAAGTATCAGATCAGACAATTTTTTAAAAAACCTTAAAAAAAATTGTATATGTGAGATATTTAAAGCTGAACAAAAATGATAAAATTTTACATATATTTAAGAAAATAACCCGAGGTAACACAAGGCACTTCGTATCTCCGCAAAGGAATTAGATGTGTGGGACTTTTAAACTTCAAACTGAATATCAGTAATAAAAAAACGTTTTATGATTTATAAAATAAAGCGAGGCATCCTGTGAAACCCTCCCTCTATTAAGAAATCTCTATACACGAGAATTTTGAGAAGAAAACGAATTAAAGAACACAGAAAGTCATTCAATTTACTTCTTATATTTTAATCATAAACGATCTGATTATGTTAAGTTCTGAAAATCTTTACAAACTTTATGAAACTTTAAGCTTTGTTATTAGATTAGAAAATAATAAAGAAATAAACATTATAAAAAATAAATTATTATATTAAAATCTCTATTAAAAGGCTATCTGTAAGATCCCAAAGCTTTGGTATTAAAATCGAAACTTTGGGATCTCACTGATGCATGTATCAAATTTGAATAAATTTAAATAATTAACATTGTTTATAATAAGGAAATAATATATAGGCCTATACATAATTATAATGTATAATCGTTAATACACTTTGTTTATTTAACAGTATCTTTCAATGAAAAACTATAACTAAGTCTTATTAAGTAAATGATTTAATTTGTATTTAAATATAAATACAGTACTTCAGACAAATTTATTAAATTAATTTTCATATTAAATGTGGCCTTTCATTATAAATAAACTTATTAAAATTTTAATAAAATCATCGAATACAAAAATATACCAATTAATTAATTTCATCATCGAAATACAAAAAATCAAATTTTTAATAATGAAATATAAATTAATAAAATTAAAATATCATAGGAAATGATCATTTAAAGTGAAAGTTTTGAAATAATTTCATAAAACTTTTATTATTAATTGATAATATTACAAAAGTTTAATTGGAATTAAATTAAATTAACAATATTCTAGACTCTGTTATTACTTTATTAAGTTGCATTAAGTAATTAATATTACAATATAATATCTTCCTAAAATTAATCTAATTGCAATTTCAAAGATTATAGAATAATTAATTGATAGATTAAACAGAATTAAACTATGAATGAAATTGTCCTAACTAATGTAAATGTAATTTCGAATTTGTTCTCTTTATATTTTATGAATAATCATAAACGTGTCTACAACCATAATAAATATACTCTACCTTATAAAGGATATACATAATAGCTTATCAGTTTATTAAAATTATAATTAAATCAAGCAAGTAACATATTAATATTTAATAAATTAAAGCTGATAAATATCATATATTCTAGTTGTTTGAATATATTCTATATATTCAAACAACTGTTTTTTATACTGAACATATTAACCACAGTTAAATTAAAATTTGCTTATATATTTATATTTATTTATATACTGTATATACATTTTTTAAAAATTTAAATAAAAAACAATTAAAATAAATAAAATATGTAAGACATTATAATGGATATAATTAATGGATGGTTTCTAAGTCCAGATTTATTAAACCGTTTAATTTATATTGAATAAAAAGCAATATATTGAGTAGCCCAAAATTCAGTTAACTGATTTTGAGTATTTAAAACGCTCTTAAAATAATATTAAGTTATACCTTGGTTAACTAACTTTTGGACCAATTTTTATATTTATTAATATTATAAAAAAAATTAT